AAAAAAAGAAAGAAAAAGAAATTCAATCGATAGGATGTTATCATCGAAGGGCAGAGAACGCTCTCCAGGACGTGTCCTTTCCGCCCTTTATCGATATTTTATCAGAAGATGATCCCAAGTGCCATTCCAGGTATGATGGCTGGTGTTTCGGCGGTCTTCGGGCTTTTCACCGATAACGAAATTATTCATGTGGACCTCATCAATGCACAGGAGATCAATTTTTACAACGTAATTGCAAGTAGTTAGAAGTCATGGGCCGTACGAAGCATGATGTCGTCGGAGGAATCGTCGTCAGTACGACCATCTATCTCATCGAAGTTCGACCCTCCCCAAGCGACTGACGCTACAGCTTCTCAACCCAGTAGCATAGTTTCGGGCATCGCGAGAAAGAAGTCAATGCACTACTCGAGGGTTAAACCTACTGTGAGAATCCGTTTATAGCCCACAGTCCGCCCCCAACGTCGCATCTATGAAACGATGTGGGAGACAGTGTGCTTACAACAAGAGCTAAGAAATGCTGGGATCGGAGGAGATTGAAACTCATCATACGGGAATAAAACGTATTCAAGAAGTCGCCTGATGGGAAAGGGAGCGTAAAATGTGATTGGTTTTGAACAGTTCGTGGTGAGCTGATTGGCAAGGGGAGGTCAGGCCTATCGACAACTTCACTACTCGTTATCAGGACTACCTGGAAAACTGTTCACGAGAACATTTCTTGAGTTTCCAGATCCAGCAATCAAAGGCAAGCCAGGTAAAGCCAGGGGGTTGCTTGATTTCCCATGAACTTCTACTATGCAGTTGAATGGTCCACTCATGACAGAGAAAAATAGGCGACAGTCGATACGGCGACCTGGTAAGCGCCTGGGAAAGGAGCGCAGACAGCCCCTTACATTGATCGCTTGGACTTAGAAATTCTGGGTATTCGAGAAGGTGAATAAGTTTCCAAACAACAAAAGTTGGAAGCCAAAGAATGATATTCATGATGATTTTCCTACATATTCGATACATGTAAGTCATTCACAATCACTGTGGTTCAGTGAAGCTATTCTTACCTGGCACCACTACACCGGCTCCTTTCTAAGTTGGTTCCACCATACAACGAGCTGGCCGGTGCTACGTTTTGTGCGGTTGCCCTTTGTACGAGCTGCACTGTTTGTTTGTTTGTTTGTTTGTTAGCATATGGCTTTCTGAAATGAAAACAGCGATTTATTTAAGAAATATGCAGCATGTGCGACGGTTCGCCTTTCGTCGTAACCAGCAGGAAGGACTTTCCAGAAAGAACGACGAGTATAAACAGTGATAATTATAGTAATACAATAATTGTTAACATAGGCAAATCCTAATACCTCTTTTGTGGATGTCTCAATTTGATTCAATGTAAATGCTATAAGACGCTCTCACGCTAGGAACTTCCAGTTTAGATTAAAAACCCGATCGAATAACGGTGCTAACGGTCCGAAGTCATCGTAAGATTTGGATTACCCGATGTCTCCCATTGTAGACATAGCAACGAAAAATGGTCTGAGAGCCGCTGTGCAGACGGTTACCATTTGGGTGAAGTTGTTGAAATATCATTACACGATGAGGGGGAAGCAGTAAAAGAAGTTGAAAAAAACCCAAAAATCAAGCAGCAGGCTCCTGTCACCGCACGCACCACCACCCAGGAATCAATGCATATGGGCGGCCCAATTGGGTGATCAATGCACATGACCTTTTCTCGCTGGAGCGACCAGAAGTTGAAGTTATACAGAAGCCATGCAGACATAACTCCAATGGGAGGATCTCCTATGTTGATCAATTTATTTTTCAATGTTGGTGTTATGAACATCGTTTCTACTCCTTTTCATGATATCCCAGTTTTTCGAAAACAAAGATTCCTAGCTGGAAGCTGACCTAACAGAAGCTCCAGTTCTATGAGGACAAGCAACTTGTCAAAGAAGTTGGATCTGTCGTTTAGGGTCATCAGATTTGGATACGGTGGATGATGAAGGTTCCCTGCACAGTGGTCTAAAATTTCGAAGAAAAAATCCAATAAATCTTTTGAGAAAGTGATCTGGCCGGCAGCTCCCGATTCTAACAACTTTTAATCCAGATTTGCCCCTGATCACGGTATACTCAGCCGGTGAAATGAAGCACTGGACGGAATTGGATGAGAAATTCGGAAAACGGAGATCAGCAACAAGCGCGTTAACGGCGACTTGTATCAATTATCGTTCCAAGGTGAGGAAACCGCTTAGATAGACCTAAAAAAGTCGTAGAAGCTGGTGAGACTCAATATCCGAATCCAGTCATTTCGCTCGTATAGCTGGCAAATTTGACAAGGTGTCTGCCACCTGCCTCAGGTATGGGCAGCCCTTCTAGCTAGAGATTTTGATCAATCCTCCGATTCTCCTTGATTGAAGTTAAAGTTCCCATATCACACATACCCCACTAATGAGCGGGAAACATGCTTTCACCCAGTTTTGAATAGTAGAGGTAGCAAATACCAACAACGATGGAGAAGTTTCGAACAGAAAGTCGCCTACCTCAGCCTAACTTCAACTATGACCCCCTTGCGATTCCTCTTCATCGTGGACCACATCCGCGAGTACAAAGCCAACTGACGGTACCTAGAAATTCCGAGTCTCCTCCGAACAAATCTCAATTATTAACACGTGGTAAGCAACCGTCAACTGCCAGACTTGTCAAATAATGGACATCTATCTTCACAGAAAATACTTCCCACACCGTCCAAACATTTTATTCTTACAGATTTTGTAATAAAGCAATGAACTATTGAAGTAGCACAGGCGACACGGATGATAGATCAATTTTTTGCGAGGATTTTATTACAAAACAATTTACAAACACAAATAAACTGATAACTGAAATTTGCCTCATGAAAACGATGACATGTTACAGTTACAACGAGACCGCTGTAACTGAACTTTTTGTCATGCATTTTTCCTGGATCCCAATTGTAGTTTGAACAGTCCAAAGTCGTGCACACTTAATGGAGTCGAGAACTTGATTCCGTGAAAAATGGAAGTTTAAGGTGAAAGGGTGAAAACCTTGTTGACTGCACTATTGAAAAACCCCCAAGAAAAATCAAACTTTCGCTGTTAAGTCAACAACCTCGCGATCATTATCACATCTTGTTCTGTTCAGTCATAGGGACAAATGTTGGCAGTTTTGGTGCCTCAACGGCGTAGAACTTGAAGAGATACAACACCTTGTTATATGCAAAAATAAATCAAAACATTTGGCATTGATCCACAGCCGTTGATCAAATTTGTCCTCAGAAAGTTACAGCTCTTTGCCCACGCTTTCTTCGCTGAACTAAGAGGTTGCTGCTACTGTTCAGTTCCCGATTTAAAGTTACATCTNATTTTTTAATTGCACACCCATAAACAGCGAAATCTAATGGAACAGGAGGTACCGTTGCTGACGTCCTGTCGGTAACTACCTGCTACGACCCTTGATAGTCCTTGGCCAGCTAAGCCCTTTACAAGCAGCCATCGAACAAAGTTTTTTTTGCAGACACTTTTCCTCCGATTATTTCGCACAAGTGGTTGTTTTTTGAGGCCCTTGGGATAAAATACTTCTCGGCATTCAGCCGAAGAGAAACATCCGAGTAAAAATACCAAATATGATATGTGTAATCCGAATACTCTATTTGGACAACTTCAGAAAAAAGGAAAAAGCTGGGAACAGGTTGGATTATAGGTTTGATGCATTGGATTTGAAAAAGAGAAAGAGCCAGCCATGTTTCGGCTATGCTGGAAAGCCTTAGTCCGGACAGTGAACGAGGCACAACAAAAACAAGACATTACGAGGGAGCAAAAACTTGATTTTTTCAATTTCGGTAATTTTTCCATGAAAAAAGTAATGTTCAGTACAAGAAAAACCGCTCGAACTACAATTCTCATCGGGTAAATCCAAATAACTAGAATGTTACATCAAAAGATACACAAATTCCAGTCAATAAACATAAACAGCAACAGCAACAATCAATGAATCAAACGTCGCAGCGGACAGGCTGCCCAGAGGTGGTCGGTCACAAAATACTTCAATAGAGTGAGTGGTGTATAGGAGCTGACGTCGTAAAGCCAACGGATATCTGTTTACTTCGTAAACAACTTAAACTTAATACCTAAACAACCAGGGATCCTGGACGGACTCCAAATAGTCGCCACTAGGCTCCATGCAAATATTTAGTGTATTTTAGATTGAAATACTATCGCCCCTATGAGTGATCTACGATTTTCTTCTATCTGCCTAGCAAGTCGATGATGTCTTTTTCCAGATTATCTTCAATTAGGAAGTCTGGAGTCCTAATTTTTTCCGTAAAAAAGGGGAGCAGGGAGAAGCGATAGTAGTTATGAGCAGAGGAAGAAAAGAAAGTTCATATCCACAGAAAAGGCTTTTTTTCATTAAGAAATATGATTTCTTCCATTTTTCACCTTTCTTTTCTCACCTTTTCCTTATTCAGCTCTCCTGAGGATTAAGGCACAACACAAGAAACGCTGACCTGCTACCACACAGTGAAAAGAGTAAGCCCGTCCAGTATTGTAAAATTTTCAGTGAACTAATTACTTATTATTGATTGGAGACATTAATATAAACAATTACACGTGAGCAGCTTTCTTAAGGTCGAATATGAACCATTTTGAGGTGAAGTATTCCCCGGTATCGTGTGCTTGAGGATAATTATAGAAAGTAAACATTTGATTTTTAGTAGTCGCTGAAAGTCCATCCTTCTTTTTCCAGTTCTCACATTTGGGTGTGGCCTCTAGTATGTAGTGATGGGCGGAAGTGGTATTGTACGGTTTGGAGTGCTACCTGTCGTGCTTTTCGGTTCCAATTTTATAGAGAGTGACCGTCTACAAAGTTTCTCCAAAACCCATTCTCTGTAGGGTGGAACAAAATAGCAAGCGATGGGGGGATCAATCACGCATGGCAGAGTTGCTATATAAATACGAAGATCTTCACTGATGGAAGCTTCCGATCCAGTAGCCACTGCTAGAATGGATAGCGAAATTGTTGGTAGGAAGCAAATGATCGGAACCATGGCTTGTATTGTAAGAGCCTGAAGGAAAAACAATTTTTGTCAAACGGTCATATCCTAAATCTTAGAAGGTCTAGCCTCTCGAGTAAAACCCGAAAACAATGGCTCCCGAACAACTGAGGAAGCAGCTCAAAACTATTCTTTCATAGAGTTTTGGGAGTAGTTCATGAATTGGTGATTTGTTCCAGTCTTTGATGGCAGTTCACGTAGAGAATCGCTCGAACAACTGTTTGTGGCGGATAGTAGGGTAAAATTCTGGCTCATCAAAGATTTATGAGGAACTTTGGCTTTTCGGTGGTTCAATTATTCTCAATCTTAACATCAAAAATTACTGTCTCGAACAAATATATATCCGAACAAATGTCTCACTACCCTGCAGAACCTCTGAGCAGAGGTGAAAACACAGTTAACGGTAAAAACGGTTTCTGACGTCTCCTCTTAAGATGAACTCAAATATAGCATGTGGGACATTGCCGGATCAGAATACGACTTCGACCGGGTGTTATAATGTTCCAAAACTGGCTTCGCCAACGTACACACCGAAAGGTGGGCGTGTTATGATGGCCTTGTTAAGGCTGCACCATTCACAGTGAAGCGTCAGGACGTTGAAGAATAGTACACCCATGTGAGAGACACCCAGACAGTTACAAATGCAATTCGTACAACCCCTTTCCTTATTACATTTTTAATGGCTTATATTTTTAGAATTCGCGCTAGTTTTACTACCTATGTTGGATTCGTCTGAGTTATCGAAAGCTCTGCTTTTGAGCACACATAGTTAATAGGTAACCAAAGTACCGTACATTCTAGACCGTCTCTGATGAACCTTTGATCGAATGATTGTTATAATTAGAATTTACGATACCAATTTGAATAAATAGCCATTGGAGCATTTTTCGGAAGCTGCTCGGATACTTTATCATCTCCACTACGAGCTAGGCACGTGTTCGAACTTTTACAAAAAAAAANAAATTCATGTTCATTCATAAAATTGCAAATTCATTCATAAATCATGGGCAATTCAACTAAGAAAGAGGATTTAAGAACAAACTTACTTTTTTAAATTGTAATTACGATGTTCATTGATTGTTTCCTTCGTTACAAGGTCAAGCCGTTGAGATCCAATGTGCGGCAGAACCTGTGAGGAACGAACATGACTTTGGTTGTTTATTCTCTCGTATTTTTTGCATAGAGAGGATGTGATGTATCATTGTTAAATGACACACACACACCATCCAGGAATCACCCCGGATCGTTATGCTCCCAGGCCAATCAAGCCTTCCATCCCTTTAATTGTAAGATCAATTTATTAGTACCAAACTTGTCCAGCAGGATAGAAGCACTGATTGTGCATCGGCCGGCACCCTAGACCCCGTGTTTTCGGTAGGACACTTGCATGCGGATGCAAGAATCCCAAAACGAAATTGATATACGCCTAAGATTTTATCCTACACCTGCACACCCACAAACCTATACAGTTACATGCCTGGTGATCTGTTAAATGGAATAAGTTGAATAGAACTCACCAACAGCAATACCGGCCAAATTACAATCAAGAAGAGAATCACCAGAAGTTCTAGTGTATTTATCTGTCTGGCCTGTAACTTTCGATAACGCCAAAATATCGTGTGGTCTATGAGAAGCTCTACATAAAATGTAAGAGCATTAATGATAGTGTAGCCGGCGAGGCCTGCCATGGTACCGAGCATACGGAGTGGAACATCTGAAAGGATTGCTGTGGTCGAACTGTTCGACATCATTCTGGAATCGGGAATTCCTTGAAGTTCCAGGGCCCACTGACCTTCCCTGCACAAGTCCTGCTGTCAGTATTAGAAGGATTTGCATTGCAGAGATGCTAATCAACATAGCCTTCAAACTCCAAACAATGCGGGGACTTCTAGAAATGAGCGATTGGAATAGCTACAGCCAAAACAACAACAAGTAGCAGCTCCTTCAGTGCAAGCAGTAGAAAAAGGTACACACGCTGTAAATCAGTAAATTTTGAAGGGGATACCTGTATCTGATGAGGTATATCAGTAAGCCATTGGTAGACACACCAATGATAACGAAGATAGCGTAGTACCAATTGACAATTGATCATCAAATTCCGTTTTGAATATATCTCCTTCCAGTAGCTAGAACCAAGTTTTAAAACTCTTCTGAAGCTAAACTATACAATACAACTCGGATAAATAGGTCGAAGTGATCACTCAAAAATTCCTTCTGAGTTATGAGCACAGGACTGGAATTAGGCCCCATTTGGGTGCGGTATTCCACAAGGAGCAGGTGTAGCTCCAAGTGGCCCGTTACCGCACGCATAGTCCGAGGATCGATGTGGTGTCTTCATTGATTTCCATCAGGCGAATACTTTCTATATAAATCGTCTAGAACTGTCGTTTGGGGGGAAAAATTGAAAAAAAATGTGGGACTGTAGGTAAATAATAGCCCAGTTTCCAGTGGATATAAAGCGATGGGCGAAGATGATGGGGTGTCAAGTAATGCACATCACCATCGACCATTACTATTCAAACGTATGTTCTGGGTGTCGAATCACGAAAACTAGCAGTCCAAGTTATCAAAGCCTTCAACTTTACGGGACGCAAACTGCTACGGCAGACTTTTCTGGGAAGATGAAGTTCTGCCTTGTACCTTTCCCGGCTACCGCAAGCCGTTGTATAGCTTGGGAAGGCACTCAAACGCCAAAGCAATTCCAAATTGTAGTCAAATGAAGGGCACATCTCAAAATATTATTAATCAAGACTCCATGAATTCGGAGAATAGAGTTACAGTTACAATAGTTGCGCGGAGCATAAATAGAAACCATGAAAAACATTTTTCACCCTGTATATCGCANAACATAGCCTTCAAACTCCAAACAATGCGGGGACTTCTCAGAATGAGCGATTGGAATAGCTACAGCCAAAACAACAACA